TTAAGAACTTAATTAAACTGGAATCTTTATCGAAACTCATAGAATTAGAATAAAAACTCATAGTATTTTAAATTTTGAAAATTTTAATATACTGAATATTTTTTTTACTTTTAATATAGAGTGAACTGTCAATAGAATTTTTGGTTTAATTCTTTATAATTCTTTGTAAGAAAACTAGTCTTTCTACCAGAACTCATAGAATTTTAATCAAAGCTCATAGAATTCTTAACTTTTGTAAATTTAATCATCAGCATTTTTTTCCATTCATTTAAAGAAAAATATTAGAATTATTCGTGAATTTTTGAGAATTCTAGAAATTTAAGTATTTAATTTAACTGGAATTTGTATCGAAACTCATAGAATTTAAATCAAAACTCATAGCAATCTGAATTTTAAAAAATTTAAGGTTTATTATATTTTTCTTACCCTTAGTATAAAGTGAAATGTCATTAAAATTTTTGGTAAAATCCTTTATAATTCTTAGTAAGCGAACTAGACTTTTTATCGAAACTCATAGAATTTTAATAAAATTCTGAACTTTGAACAAATTTAAGTTCAGTAAAGTTAAGTTGAGTATAAAATTTGACTTCATATTCTTAATCAGCCATCCCAAAAACTATATAATTCGAATCAAGAGTTCCAAATAAAACCCCACAATCTCCATAATTGTTTTTAATAAAAACAGAATTTAAATATACTCATATAATCCTAATCAAAACTCATAGAATTTTTATAATTAAAATTTCAGCATTTTTTTATTTTTCGTATAGAGAAAAATATTGAAATTCTTTGACAATTCTAGAAATCTAAGAAATTAATTTAACTGGAATTTTTATCGAAATTCAGAGAATTTTAAACTCATAAAATAATCAAAATAAAAACTCATACTTTAGTATATTTTTACATAGTTTCAGTACAAAGTGATCTGTCATCAGAATTTGTGATTTATTTATAATTCTTAGTGAGGAAACTAGACTTTTTTATCGAAACTCATAGAATTTTAATAAAAACTCATAGAATTCCTCACTTTTTGAATAATTTAAAATTCAGCATTTTTTTTTTACATTTCGTACAAAGAAAAATAATTGAATTATTCGTGGAATTCTTTGAGAATTCTAAAAATTTAATAACTATTTTAACTCGAATGTTTATTAAACCTCATAGAATTTGAATCATAACCCACAGTATTTTGAAATTAGAAAAATTTAATGTTCATCATTTTTTCTTATTTTTATTATAAAATAAACTATCATTACAGTTTTTGGTAGAATTTTTTATAATTTTTTTGAAAATGATACTAAAATTCTTATCAAAACTCATAGAATTTTAATAAAATCTCATAAAATTCTAAACTTTGAACAAATTTAAGAATTCTTTATAATTTTTTTCAAAATGATTCTAAAATTTTTATAAAAACTCATACAAAATTTAATCAGAACTCATAAAATTTTAATAAAAACTCATGAAATTCTAAACTTTGAACAAATTCAAGTTAAGTAAAATCTGACTTCAGATTCGTAATCAGCGACCCCAAAAACCCCCGAGTAACAAGTTTCAAACGAATTTGATCAATTTTGATAAAAAAAATGGCCGCCATATTGGATCCGCCATTTTGAATTTTGAAAATCTGATCTGATCAATAAAATTCACTCGCAGAAGTTTCCCGGGGGACACAAAAGATTTAATACGTTCTATTTTTAATTAATCTTTATTATAATTTTGAAATTTAAAGATTTTGTTAATTTTTTTCTAATAAAAAAAATATGATGTCAAAAAGTTTGTAAATTGAAAATTCGTTTTCGTACAGCAAGTTTGCAGTGCCATTTTTTTTTAATTAAAATTTTATCATTCTTTCAACTCAAATAATTCACTATCTCTCCTTTTTTTTAAATTCAAAGCGAGAAAATGCGTGAATTTTAAGTTTCAATAATACAATTTTTTTTTATGGGTGTGGGGAGAGTAAAATAAAAAATACTAAACAAAAGCTTGAAAGGAAAATCAATTGAGGAAAAAAATAGGGACCTCATATATGATAAACCCCTATATGCTCTCGGATTTTAGACGCTTTGTGCCAACCCCTCATCAAATGTCTACCATATATATTCTCATATTTTACAGTCATTCAAAAGGTCAGAATCCTGCTGATATTGATGGATAGTTTGATATCAAAAAAAAAAGAAGAAAAAATCTATTCCATCAATGCACGCTGCCAGAAATAATTGGATGCGGGTTGTTTGGAGATTTTATATTGTATATATATATATAACATTCATGCCACTAAAAATGACCGAAAATGTATTTTGAATATTTTTAATTCCTTGATTCCCAATTAGTTGGCATTAGAGAACGAAATTTTTAGACTTTAATTGGTATATTTTATTCAATTTTATCTAATACTAAATAATTAATTATTTTGATCCCGTATAGATATTCGTTAAATAAATAAATATTAAATAACTATAATAATTAAGTCTAATTTTAATTTATTATAGGTAATAATTGTCTTCTTTAATTAACAAAAAAAAATTTGTTTCAAAGTTATTTATTTCAGTTGCAGTTGAAATTTTTTGAAAATAATTGAATTCTTGGGAAGAAGTTTTATAAAATTTTTAAGAATAATTTTTCCAGGAATTTATTTCAAATTGCATTAAAAATAATTTTAATCCTGCGATGAGTTTTATTATTTATTTTAAATAATTGAATTTCTGAAAAATTTTCTTTTTAATAGGTATTTGAACCTTTGAAAAGAATTTTATAAAAGCCTTTTTGAATATTTGATTTTTTCGAAAAATTTTATGAAAATTTTGTTTCAAATAGTTAAATTTCTGCGATGAATTCTATTTTATTATTATCATTAACATTGAACTGTTGAAAAAAATTGAAATTTTGTCAAAAGTTTTTTAGAAATATTTGAAAATAATTGAATTCTGAAGAAGTATTTTATTCTTTATAAAAATAATTGAAATTTTGATGAGAATGTTTTTAAATTTTTTAACATAATGGAATTTTATAAAAAAATTTTAAATAATTCCTGAGAAATTTGTATTATTCATGAAAAAAATTGAATTCTTATGAAGATTTTTACAAAAAATTGTTTAAATAATTGAATTCTTTTTGGAAATTTTATAAAAACAGTAGATATTGAAAATCATTTAATTGCGAAAAGTTTTTAAAAATAATTCAATTTTATAAAGAATTCTATTAAAATTTTTGAGAATAATTGTGTGGCATATTATTTAATTTTTTTGAAAATAATTGAATTCCTCAAAAGTATTTTATTAATTATGAAAATAGTTAAATTTTCAAGAAGAAATTTATTACTTTTGAAAATAATTGAATTCTTGTGATGAATATTGCTATTTATGAAAATAATTGAATTTAGCAAACAATTTTAATAAAATGCCTCAAAATAATTGAATTCTTTCGAAGAATAAATTATGTAAATAATTGAATTCTTGGGAAGATTGTTTTTAAAATCTAAAAGAAAAATTGAATTATTTCAAAAAAAATTTAATTAAAATTGTATTTAAAATAATTGAATTCCTCAGAAGAATTTTATTATTTATGAAAATAATTGAGTTATTGCAAATAATTTTATTAAAATGTTTAAAAATAATTGAATTCTTGTGATGAATATTGTTATTTATGAAAATAATTGAATTTTGCAAACAATTTTATTAAAATGCCTCAGAATAATTGAATTTTCGAGAATAATTTTGTTATTTATCTCCATAATTCAATTCTTTCAAAGAATTATTTATGTAAATAATTGAATTTTGGGAAGAATTTTATTAAAATCTAAAAGAATAATTAAATTATTTCAAAAAAATTTAATTAAAATTGTATTTAAAATAATTGAATCTCTAAAAAGAATTTCATTATTTCTGAAAATAATTGAATTCTTACCAACAATTTTATTTGAATTTTTTAAAATAATTGAATTTCCAAGAAGAAAATTTATTACTTTTGAAAATAATTTAATTCTTGTGATGAATATTGTTATTTATGAAAATAATTGAATTTTTGGGGAATAATTTTTTTATTTATCGAGATAATTGAATTCTTTCAAAGAATTATTTATGTAAATAATTGAATTCTTGGGAAGAACTTTATTAAAATTTAAAAGAATAATTGAATTATGTCAAAAAAATTGTATTAATTGTATTAGAAATAATTGAAATCTTGCCATGAATCATATTATTTATGAAAATAATTGAATAGTTGCTGAGAATTATATTAAAATTTTCCAAAATAATTGAATTCCTCAGAAGAATTTTATTATTTCTGAAAATAATTGAATTCTTACCAACAATTTTATTTGAATTTTTTAAAATAATTGAATTTCAAAGAAGAAAATCTATTACTTTTAAAAATAATTGAATTCATGTAATGAATATTGTTATTTATAAAAATAATTGAATTTTGCAAAGAATTTTATTAAATTGCCTCAAAATAATTGAATATTCGGGAATAATTTTGTAATACGCTTTTTTTTAAATAATTGATTTTTTCGAGGAATTGAAATTAAATTTTTAAGAATAATTACATTTTTTGAGTAATTCCTGTAAAATTGTATTAAAAATAATTGAAATCCTGCGATGAATTTTATTATTTATGAAAATAATTGAATAGTTACTAAGAATTTTATCAAAATTTTCAAAGATAATTGAATTCCTGAGGATAATTTTATTATTAATGAAAATAATTGAATAATTGCTAAGAATTTTATTAAAATTTCCAAAAACAATTGAATTCTTGAGGAGAATTTTATTAAAATTTTCAAAAATAATTGAATTCCTGAGAAGAATTTTATTATTTATGAAAATAATTGAATTATTATGTTTAAAAAGTATTGACCCCTTAAAGTTTACTGGTCCAATGGGAAAATTTGCAGGTCAATAAGAAACGAATGGATAATGTTGATAAAAAAATTAGTCGATAAACGTAAATCGAATAAAATTTTCAAATATCAATATTAAGTGAAAATAAAGACAACTGACCTTCAGCAGTTTTCTTTGAGGTCATAAATCCCGCAGGTGGTCGTCGCCATCCTCGCCAATTGTTGCATATGGATTCAGGCTCACTGCTCCAACTACATAGTGAGTCCTCCTCAAAGCGATCGGAATCCTCGAATGAGAAACGATCAGTCTCTTCCCAATCGAGAATCGCGCCCGGGGCACCTTGTGCTCCATTACCGGCTCCAGCTCCGGCATTTGCCGCGGCGGATGCGGCCCTTCCCGTACCGCCACCACCACCACCCCCTCCGCCACTACCACCCACCACAACGGGGGACCGAGCCAGGTTGTCCGCCAGTTTTAAATCGTCGTACGGTGTGTAGCACGCACGACACGACTGGTGCTACTTCTCCACCTCCACTTTCTTTTCTTCTTTTTCTTTTTCTCTTCTCCAACTCCGAAATCAACACCGCCGCCTCCGACGCCACCTTCAATCAATCGTCTCTCTTCAAAGGACCTATCCTTTACACAGACAAAAACAAAAAAAAGAAGGCAAAAATCAATGATTAATTTATTTGAAATTCAATACTTTTATATATTCTTTCATGTTCACAGGTCTTAGGTTCGACTTTAAGGGGCAAAAAAATGTCGCTTCAAGAGATTGAAGATTAAAAAAAAAGTCGAAATTTCAGGGCTCGAATCAGTGAAAGTATTTCAAAATACGGACATTACGGACCAAAAATTAAAAATTACAAAAATATAACCAGTCCGAATCAAATAAGAGAATATTTTACTTAAAATCATAAATTAAATTTTTATAATAATTAAAGATGTCCCAGTGATAAAATCATTATTTTATAATATATGATTATTGTTACTGTAACATCATCAAAATTATTTTTATCATTTTAATTCGATTATTATTTTTTAGTAATTTAAATTATTTTTTATGAAAATAATAATTTAATTCCTTAAACAAATTTTATTATTTATGAAATTAATTAAATGTTTGCATACAATTTTATTAAATTTTTTTTAAACAATTGAATTCTGTTTGGAAATTTTCTGCAAAAAAAGTTGATGTTGAAAATTATTTAATTGCAAAAAGTGTTTAAAAATAATTAAATTTTACAAAGAATTCTATTAGAATTTTTGACAATAATTGAATTCTTGCAATAATAATTGAATTCTAGTGATGAATATATTGTTATTTATGAAAATAATTGAATTTTGCAAAGAATTTTATTGAAATGCCTCAAAAAAATTGAATTTTCGGGGAATAATTTTGTTATTTATCGAGATAATTGAATTCTTTCAAAGAATAATTTATTTATGTAAATAATTAAATTCTTGAGAAGAACTTAACTAAAATTTAAAAGAATAATTGAATTATGTCAAAAAAATTGTATTTAAAATAATTGATTTCTTTCGGACAAATTTATTCAAATGTTTGAAAATAATTAAATTCCTATGAAAAATTCTAATATTTTTGTAAATAATTTAATTCATACTAACGATTTTATTAGAACTTTTAAAAATAATTGAATTTCCAAGAAAAAATTCACTACTTTTAAAAATAATTGAATTCTTCTGCGATAAATAATATTATTTATAAAAATAATTAAATTTTGCAAAGAATTTTATTAAAGTGCAAAAACTTTTTCAAAAAAATTAATTTTAAAATTCAATTATTTCTCAAAATTTAAGCCATATTGCTTTTAATATTTAATTATTATCTAAAATTTCAACTGAAATTCATTTTTAAATTAATTTGTATTAAAAAACTCTACTAGAATTTAATTTTTTAAATATAAAATAAAAAATTTAATGAATAATTGAATGTTTCGTAAAATTGAATTCTCATAAAGAATTTTATCAACAAATATTTTATTTCAAATTTTTATTTTCATCTTTCGATGAATTTTAATAAAATTTTTAAGAAAAATTACATTTTTTGAGGAATTTGATTAAAATTTTATTACAAATAATTGAAAATTCATTTATGAGTTTTATTATTTATGAAAATAATTGAATTCCTAAAAAGTATTTTATTATTTATGAAAATAATTAAATCTCTGTAAACAAATTTTATTAATTATGATGATAATTGAATTATTAAGAAGAAATTTATAAAAAATTTGTAAATAATTGAATTCATGTAAAATTTTTATTATTTTTGAAAATAATTAAATGTTTGGGTAGAATTTTATGAAAAATTTTTTTTAATAATTGAATTCTTTTGGAAAATTTTATTAAAATAGTAGATATTGAAAATCATTGAATTGAGGAAAATTTTTGAAAATAATTGAAATTTTGACAAGAAATTTATTAAAATTTTTAAAAATAATTGAATTTCGGACAAGAATTTGAATATTTATTAAAATAAATTGAAATTTTTACAATTTATTAAAAATTTTTAATATGATTGAATTTCTGCGAAGAAGTTTATTAATTTTTTAACAATTTTCAAATCCATTTGTTTATAATATTCAATTTTACGAAATTTTAATTACTCGTAAATTCTTCAATTAAATATATTGTAAAAAATAAAAATGCAAAATAATATAAAAAAAATTCAATTAAACTTCTTCAAAAAAATTAATTTAAAAATTATATTGCTAATTTTAATTTTTTTTTAATTTTTTTTTTAATTTATATTGCTTTTAATATTCAATGATTATCTAAAATTTTAACTGAAATTCATTTTTGAATCAATTATTATTAGAAAATTCTACACAAACCTTTAATTATTTTTATAAATAATAAAATTTTTACAGGGATTCGATTATTTTCTTATATAAAATTCTTTTTTGGAATTCAATTATTTTCATAAATAATAAAACTCATTGCAGAATTTTAATTATTTTTAGTACAATTGTGATCAAATTCCTCGAAAAAAAAAAATTTTTTCTTAAAAATTTTATTAAAATTTGTCAAAAGAATTGAATTATTTAAAAATTTGTTAATAAAATCGTTTTTGGGAATTGAATTTTAAGAAACATTCAATTATTCAATAATAATAATTGAATTTTGAAAGTAATTGAAATTTTGCTAAGAATTTTATTAAAATTTTTGAAAATAATTGAATTTTGAAGAAGAATTTAATTATTTCTAAAAATAAAAATGAAAATTTGACAAGAATTTAAAAAAAAAATTATGAAAAAATTTTTTAATTCAGGAAAACTTTAAAGTCAAAAAACTTCTTGAAGACCACGCTAAATGTCAAAATAAAGCATTAATGAATTGTTCATTTATTAATGTAGAATAGGAAAAAAATACTTTGGTTCTTCGGAAAAGCCCAGAATTTATACTTTTTTCCAAAAAAAAAATAGTCAAAACTGTAAAATAATGCTATTTGAGTTTTCAAAGCCAAAAAACTTAATGAATTGTTTATTTACTGATGTAGAATAGGAAAAAAATACTTTGGTTCGTCCAAAAAGCTCAGAATTTAGATATTTTTCCAAAAAAAATGCGCCAAATTTCAAAATTGTCTAATTTAGGAAAACTTCAAAGCCAAAAAACTTCTTGAAGACCTCGTAAAATTTCAAAATAGTGCATTATGAATTTTTTATTTCTCGATGCAAAATAGGAAAAATATTGTTCGGTTCATCGGAAAAGTCCACAATTTATACTTTTTTCCTAAAAAGAAAAGCCAAAATTTTACTTTAAATCCTAATTTGAAGTCAGAATTGTCAGATTTCCTCGAAATTTTAAGACAAACTTATTGAAATACACTAAAGTAGACTAATAGGAAAAAAAATGTCTCTTTTGCCTTTAATTCATGCTTTTTAGCAGATCTTTTAGTTTATCTCAAAATTTTGCGCCAAACAGTTCTTAAAACTACTTTTTATTTTGCTATAAAAAAAATAAATATACTTTTTTACAGATTTACTGAGTTTAGTGAACATGTACCTAATTTTTATAATTTTTTATATCAAACAAAAAAAAAAGAAAGAGAGAGAGAGAGAGAATGCTTAAGAGTCATCGTCTACTATAGTAGAATTCTTTCATCTTGAAAAAAAATATCACATCCGGAAGTTTCCATTCGCCACTAAATAAAATCAAAGAACATCATACCTGCATAATAATGACTCAATATCTGATGTGTGCTTTATAACTACCAATGAGTCAGTGTAACTTTGCAACGAAAATATATATATATCTGCCATGAGAGTTTATTGACTCATCCTAGTTGAAATAATGCTCAAGTCAAGTAAATATGATTCATTCTTCTTCTTTTCGATTTTTCAAATGAAAATTTATTTTAAACTTTATTAATTCATTTATAATTCATTTATAATTCATTTATAATTCAATTTAATTAGTTTAATATTCAAATTATTCAAATTCATTTAATTTTAAAGTCATTTTAATTAATTTAATCTTAAAATCATAAATTTTGAATTTGACATCATTTTAATTAATTTAATCCTAAAATTCCTTTTTTTTTCATTTCGATTTTTCGAATAAAAATTTCAAATTTTATTAATTCATTTATAATTCAATTTAATTAGTTTAATTTTTAAATTATTCAAATTCATCTAATTTTGAAGTAATTTTAATTAGTTTAATCTTAAAATCATAAATTTTGAATTTAACATAATTTTAATTAAAATTTATTCCTAAAATCATTAAATTAAAAAATTTAAATATAGATTTTCATTTGAAAATAAAAAAAGAAACGAAAAAAAAAAGAATTCCTCATTTTTCTCTATAATGAACGAATAAACAGATTTTGAAAATTGATTATTTTAATTTATTTCACTTTATACAACTGTATTATTGCAGGAAGTTAAAGTAGAATTGCTCGCAGTAACACACAAGAGCTCAAACATAATAATCGTGTCAGGGAAAATGATCATTGCATTGTGTGTTGCTCGCGGACTCTCGATAATTGCAATTTCAAAGTGTTTAATCGCAACGGCGCTAATTCGCTATGGGCAACTATTCACGAACAGTTGCTATCATCGTGGAACTACCGTGAACCAGTTTATGCAACTTAGTTGAGACGATGTTGCGTAAATTACTATTCACGCCCATTACAATCCGTTGTAACTTTTACTACTTGACTATATAAACTTATATGCCAGACATACATTTATAAACACTCACACACACACACAAAAGAATTGAATAGTAAACTGTGGACTATATTTTCG